TTATGAATATGTGCGCGATTAGCCTCTTACTCACTGCGTACCTAATCATCCACGTGGACGGCAACCCACTATTGGACCCTGGTGGTATTAATCCGAAAAGCACATTCCCCGAAACAGTCACCTCGCTGACGACCTTGCTCAAATCAGTGCTCAGTACGGTGCCAACCATAGGCCCAGTTATCGGTCCACTGGCCGATAGTATTACAGCCGTATTGACCACTGTTTTAGGATTAGGATCGGCGGTGGGACTGCTCAGGCAACTCGGATAATATATTTCATGTTTTGTTTGTATATAATAGTCATTTTATTCATGTTATTACTAGTTGTGTTATGTATTAGAAAAAGTTACTAATTTTTTGTAAAATGCCAAATTATTATAAACTAATAATTGCTAATATTATAATATATTTATTTACATTATTATTTTTGAAAGAATTTTCTATTATAATTATTATAATTATTTTTTTTAGTTTAAGAAACTTATTTTGTAAAAATGGTAGAATTAATTAAATATAATTGACGTTACTTAAATATTTGTTAATACATTTTCACAAACTAATTTACTTATAAACAATTTTTTTTATATTTCCATACATACAAAAACTTTCATAAAAAGTTTTAAATACTTTAAATAATTTCTATTTTGCACATCTTTATTTAATTCAAAATTCAAATAAATATCTACAAATTATTAACAAGGAGTGTTTAAAACATTTATTATAAAATAATTGAATTTAATGATAATACTAGAGGTATTAAGAAAATCCACAAGTTTCAATATAATTAACTAGTTACCAGTATCATTAATAATAAATACTTCATGTACAAAATAATTAATAACTTATCAGATATTACCAATATTACAGCACCAATATTATATGACCATGTACCAAATTCAATGTCCAGCTACCGGTCCCAACTTCCTAATCAAATCTTGGGGCACATTCCTAACGGCCCACAAAACATAAACAAACGACACGATAGCCACACACAGACTGGCAAACTCTAAGTACACAAAACTATCCGGCACCTCCTCCACGTACTTGCCTATAAAATAAGGCAAAAACATATACACCGCGTTATAGGACCCTATGAACAGACCCCCTATCCTATCGGTCACCTCCATGTACTGACCCACGAACGAGAACAGGCATATAAATATGGAACTGTAGCCAAAGCATATGACAATCGAGCTGGCTAACAACAAATTATAGTCACCCTGACCGAAATACTGGAATATGTAGCCCGCAAACACGATAGCGGACTGGTAGGCGATCATGTGATGGGGCTTGAGATACATGGCCACGAATACACTGAGACCCCTACCTGTCGTAAGGGCTATGCCTATGATTGAAAAGAGCTCGGAGGCCTGGGAGGCGGACAGTTTAGCAGGGCAAAATTGATAAAATGTAGGCGCGAAGTCCATGTACATGTTTTCCGACATTATGCCAAACGCCAGGAATATGGATATGCATACTATGATGGTCTTGGAGGGCACGTACTGTTTGTGTCGGGCCTTTTGCTCAGGTGTGATGGCTACTTCAATTTTACTATCATGGTTAAAGTGGTATTTCTTGGTACAGTACATGAGCAGCATCATCAGTGGACCTGGATATGATTTTTGTTTTTGAATAATTAGTTAATTGTTATTTTTTGTTAATTGATTCATTGTTTTTGAAAATTATTTTGTCTGTGTTTTAGTGTTTATTTTATTTATATATAATTGTGATAATGTATTGAAATATTTGCTATTATGATATGCTGTGTTATACTGTACCATAATAATTTGTGAAATAATATTAGTTTATAGTAACTGATTTAAATATAATAATAAAACATTTATAAGTCTGTATCAAATACAGTACAACAAAAGTCTTGTAATATATTTATCTACTTTATACAGAATGTAATAAATATATTAAAATATCTAATAGTGTTTATGTGAGCAATTAGAAATACAAATTACTGTTCAAATTACATCTAAAAAATAATTACTTTAAAAATGATAACAAAATACATACCAATCATTTGCAGACACCCGCCAATCAGTAGCGGAATCTTAAGCCTCGGCCTCCGGTCGTAAGCCCTACACTCGTCCGTACATGGATTGGTCCAGTTTAACGGGCTACCGGTGCCCAATGTAGTCGTAGGCTCAATACAATTCTCCTCGTATACGTCAGGACATATTTGCTCACCTAGCACATAATTCTTGTCCAATAGGGGGCCTAATATGGTTCCCACACCGTATATAAACTGCGAGAACTGTAGTATAGAGGGACTCCTATTTTGCCACATTTCTATGAGTATGACATTATTGGCCCCATTCCAGGCCCCTATGCCGAACCCATACACGAATATACAGACATACAAGTGCCATAGCTCGGTGGCCCACGGCTGGAATATGGTGCCGAACCCCTGCAATATTATTAGTATGGACAGGGTTACCTGACGGTTCAGGTAGTTGTATGAGCCAGTTACTAAAATAAATTTTAATTAATTTAAAAAGTATACGTATTTATCAATAGTTTAAATAATTACTAAATGATCCGGTGAAAATGCCAATAGCTTGAAACATGGGAAACAGTCCGATCCACTCCATGTCGGTGTTCAATATGGCCCGGTAGTCGACAAATGCCGGCGCCATACTTGATAATGTGAGTCCCTTGGCAATTTTAAAATTAAATAATTAAAATAATTGTTAGTTTAGAAAAAAAAGTAATTTTATATTTAGTGTATTTTTAAATACTTACAAACAGTAAATGAATGTAATTATGAATGAGTGTATAGATAACTTTGTGTTTAAAACTTAAATTTCTAGGATCATTATCCGGGTCATAATCCATAGAAAGTTGACTTTTTTCAGTTGACCCTAAGTTTTCTTTTTCATTGATCATGGTCATGTTTACTTTTAGCAAATGTTTTATTTTATTTATTATAAATATTTTTAAAAATATACTGTAGTCACATAGTAATTAATAAGCTTGACAAAATATTTTACAATTTTGTTGTATCACAGAAAATTGTTATGTTTAATCACTTTTGAGTATATATTATGCACTGTATGTACAAATTACACGACTGTCCCACTATTTAATTATTATCATTAATTATATGCGTTTAATAAGAGTTAATAGTAATTAGCAGTGTAATCTCAAAAATGATTTGTGTTGTAAAACTTTTTATTGCCTTATTTTTTAGTGTTATCACAATTGACAGGAATTTAGATTCTAAACTTTCCATTAGAGTTCATATCCATATAAATAATTCAATATTATATAATTTATTACTTTTAGGAAATTAAGATTTTTTTAATGAAATTTTAAACATGTATCCTGATATAATTATCATTGATAATTTATCAAATACTTTTAATTCCTATTGTAATTTTTCGATTATATAATATGCTATATTTTAACTGTATTTATTATCCAATTAAAGAATTCCTATATTTACTAGTTAAAACTATGACACTTACTGAAATATTTATTTAATTTTGTTTATTAGATATAAGTAGTAAAATCTGATTATTATATTATGTTTTATATGAAAATATGCAGACTTTATACACTACAAACATGAATGCGCTTAATATACTGTAGAGTAATAAATTGTAACTCATAATTTAAAATAAGTAGTAGTCTTGTTCAAACTTTTATAGTTAATCAATTCTCATTATTGTCAAACAATATTATTAACAGCAAATAACCATGTGTTTTATTTTATGACTGTCAGCCACTAAAACACCCTAATACACATCAGACATATAAATAAATGTAATATTTATCGTTGACTTTTACTTTCAAATGAAATCAATAATAAAAACACATGTAATATAGTACACATGCTTGACATTACATAATTATATTGAATTGCACTCGACAGTTTGTACTTGATACTTAAACACTTATATTATGATTACTTTAACTGTTGTACTAATTTTTATATGAGTCAATTGTATAACATAATTTACCAAAAGGGCACAGGTATTTTGTTTAATATTATACATACTGTTTACAATACATGAATTATAATAGATAACTGTATATAATTGCTATTAATGTATAAATATTCTTTGAACTATCAATAATTTTATTTTATGTATGAAATCATAATAGATTAGAAAATTTGAAAACACGTTTTTGTTGTAAAATATATCACGTATATGTATGTCTATGAAAAGGGAAGTGGGAGTGAGATAATTAAAAAGTGAATGTAAAATACTTATACACCATATGTGAATGTCGAAATTAATTAAAGTTTACAATAATTTTTAATCAAATGTTAAAATATGTAATTAATTTTTTAACAAAAGCCACGGTGATTTAATTAATAATAAAATAAGAAATGATATTGACAAGTTACAATTTATGCATGGCGGCGTGCACAAAGTACATACGCACTGGTAGAGGGAGGGGGGTCATGCCAAAGCGTATGTCACCATGTTAAATTCCTATGTACGATGGGCGTGTATGGGGGAGGGGGGTCAATTTTTGACCAAAATTTTGTATAATATATTGTACTCGAGTATTCAGATCTAATAAATATATCTAAATCATCACTAAGTCTAAAGAGTTATTTCATATCATATTTCATATCATATTTAATCTATTATTTTCTAAATGTCTATTAAATGTTTTTATCACTGAATAATCTATAAAAAAATTTAACGTTTTATTAAATCATATAATTGATGTGAAATAATATCTTGGTAATGTTTGGCAGTGTGTTTCGTACACAATATGAACGGATTATGAAGATATACAGCGGTCTACAGGAAGCGACAGCTTTCATGGAACTTAATTATGGTATATATTTTGCATTCACCAAGTAAGTCTACAAATTGAAACGAATTTCACCTGATCAAAAGTGTGATTATAGCAATATTGAATATAAACACAATTATGTATCAACCACGAAGCCTATGATGATGGCAGTTGATAAATTTTTTTGAGCATATTAATTTTGTAGGGACATAAGTTTACATAAATATATTATAATACAATTATTATATATATATTTACTGAATTATTTATTTTATTTAATATTATATTGTTTATTTTGCACAATTAATTTTTAGTGGTTTAATTTTATAAAGTTTTTTGAATTCTAAAAATACAAAAATAAATATAACTTAATTATTAAGTTAATAACTATTATACATATAAATTATTATAATAAATCCACGTGTTCAATGTTAAATGTAGTAAAACACTTAAGTAATTATAAACAAGTTCATTAATCAAGGTGCTACATTTAAGATCAAATCACCAGGTACATTCCTGACCACGTACATAGCTATCCCAAATGCAATTATACCTACATACACACCTGCAATGCCCGTATACAAAAATAATGACGGGTCAGTAGGTAGGGCTGCGCTAACATAATAGCATAGGATGTCATATAAGACATTGCAGGGGCCTATGAACCAGCACCCGATGTTATCGGTCAGTGGCATGTACCTGCTCACAAATGAAAACAAACAGATCCAGATCGTCGAGTAGCCAAACGATATAACAAAGGCTGAGCACCAGAGGGTTACGATGTTATTCTGACCCCATATCATGAATATATAACCACCTAGGTTTAAAGTAGAAAATTGAAATTTTATTTTAAATATTAACAAGGACAATGTTACGTATGAATAATACTTTTATAAGAGAAAATATTTTTAAATGCTAGAATACTAATGTCAAAATTAAAATCCCGATACAATTACTTTGAAATAGCTCACTTTTATTGACTAGTTAGTGTTTATTAAAAATATTATTTTTAACTACCATGTTTATTTTTTAAAAATTATTTTTAAATTTTAAACTTAACTAAAGTCTACTGAATTTTTTGATTTTAAAATTGTTTGTCACCCTACCCTAGGTACCTATTTATCTAACCAAGACACAATTACCTAATACGATGAGCAACTGGACAGTTATCATAGCATCGGGTTTGACGTAAAAGGCTATGAAAACACTGATGAGTCGGCCCAACGAAAAGATCCCGTTTTGTGACGAGACTATATCGGAGGCCAGGGAGGCTTGCACCTGTAGCACCGGCTGGTACTGGAAGAATGAGGCGGCAAAGTTTGTGTAGATTTGCTCGGACATCAGGGCAAACAGAAATACTATTGATATACAGGTCAGTATAGTATATTTGGGTATGTATTGCTTGCGTCGTTCCCTATATACAGCGCGGGTAGCTGAGGTTACGCTAGTGTCCAGCTCATTCACGTAATGGTACTTTTTGATGAAATACATGGATAAGTATAATACTGGACCTAAAATAGTTGGGGATAATTTAATAAAAAATTGGAAATTTAGTAATAAGTAAAATGGTTGAATAATAAATGTGTCCACATAGCCATACCAAAAATACATTCAAATGCAAATGTATTGGATAGATTGTGTTTGATTTAAAATTACATTTACATTCTGTAACTATAATTTTAATTAATCATGTTTAAAGTAAACATTTTATGTTATTTAAACTTTTAAATTTTATAGATTTTACTTTTGATTTATAAAATAATTACTAATAATATTTGTTTATAATAAATAAAATATTTTATCAATATACAGTAATTTAGAAAACTGTAATTCAATATTCATATTAAAGTTATTCTTATAAATAAACTTATAAATGTTCCCGATATAATTTTTGTTTTATTAAACTAAACTAAAATAATTGATAAACTTACCTATTACCTCCAATACACCGGCAATAAGGAAAGGTATCTTAAGGTGAGAGCGTCTGTCATAAGTAATACACTGTTCAGTGCAAGCACCGGTAGGTGTAAATGTCCCATTTGTAAAATTGCAATGACTTTTAGGCACACCGGGACATTCATCATTACCTATGACATAATTCCCGACCATTGCTGGACCTATTATAGTGCCTATGCCCCATAGGAACTGGGTGAATAGTAGCATGGACAGACTACGGTACTTCCACATTTCTATAAGTATGACATTATTACAGCCGTTCCACGTGCCCACACCTATCCCGTAGATAATTGAGCATAGCCATATTTGCCATAATGTGGTTGACCAGGGGAAAAATATTGTGCTCACACCCATTAATAGTACAGCAAATGAAAGGTAGACTTGTCTGTTAATCCACTTAAACAGATGTGTAGCTAAAATAGTTTTCATTATTTATGATATTTGTATGGTTAGTAAAATAATATGAAAAACGCATACCAAATGAGCCAACAAACATGCCCACCCCCTGTAATGCTGGTATAAGTCCTATCATACCCTGTGATGAATTAGTTAAATAAGTGAAGTCCACATATGCCGGCCCCTCCATGGCAGTGGTCATTCCCTAACAATATTAACAATATAATATGTAAATATAATTTAAAATATTAAATAAATATAAGCAATGTTATACATATAGCAAATGATTGTAGAAGTGTAACGATGTATAAACCCATATTAGCACCATGCTCATTTCACCTGGGCTATTATTTGTTTCAATAATGAATACATCGCGTAATTTTGCTGTAATTAATTTCATTGTACTTTTGAACAATAAAATTAAAATTATAAATTAATATTAGTATAGCTTTAAAAAGTTAGATTTTATTTAAAAGTTTATGACAAAAATTTAAATTTTAAATATCAATTTTATTCAAAACATTTTATTAAATATAATTGTTTTAAGCAATACATTAACATTGAAAATGTTAGAATGAATAATCATTGTAAAATAAAAAATATTAATAAACTTTTTATTTGAATATTTGTCTAATTTTTTATTGTTAATGATCATTGAAATATAATGATTTAAAAATGGATAGTAGGCTAATTAAAATGGTGCATTAATTATATTAATTGATATAAAAAAATCATACAAATTAATTCTAAAAGCAATTAATTTAAATATAAGTTTTAAAAAATAAACTAAATTATTTTTGTTAGGAAAGTAATTTAATGCACCCAAAAAATAAAGTAAAAATTTTTCGCAACAGTTTAAATGAGTTGCAAAACAAT